GTCCATTTTATATTGTAACCCAAGATACTTGTTTTTCTTTTCACTATAGAAATACTCCTTAAGTATTTGTAAAATATCTTAAATTTTGGAAATATAAAAGCACTGCCACAATACTGGAGAGCATATATTAAAGACATCAATCTATTGTTGTACTAATATGGACTTTTTTATTGTACTAAAAAGAATTTATTGAAAAAAAGTACTAATAAAACCTTTCTTCTGTTTGCTGGTAGATTCCTTTTTTTTTTTCTTTTGCGTTCTGTGATTTGAACTCAGGGCCACTCCACTAGCTCTTTTTTTTTTTTTTTTTTTTGATAGGGTCTTATGGAACTATTTGCCTGACCTGGTTTCTAACAGTGATCCTCCTGATCTCTGCCTCCTGAGTAGCCAGGGTTACAGGAGTTAGCCACCAGCGCTCAACTGTTTGCTGTTAGATTCTTATTTATTTGTCATTTGATTGTCTTTTAGACTGAGATTTTTGAGAGCAGAATCTCTATTTTTATCCATGGTCCCAGCACAGACTAAACAGTTTGTGCAATTTTTATTATATCATAAGTCTTTCTACCTGGTAAGGTCAAATGAAAGCCAACCTTCTTTAAGACAGTAACAACTAAATCTGATTGTTTAAATTCTAGGAAAATCTATAGTAGAAATCGAAATATGATTATTTTTTAAAATGTATGGTTTGACATTTTGCTTTTACAAAATTTAAGTGGCCATTCATAAGGTAATTTTAGGTGTAGCATTCGAGATATTTTATATGAGATATGGAATTATTTTGTAGGGATGATTTTAAAAATATGGTTTATCTTTGTGTGTGTATGTGTGCCTATATAGTCTTTTAACCATTCTTGAAAGTAATGAAAGTAGATATTGTTCATTACTCTGTAGTCTTAGCCTATATGAATAGGGCAAAATACATTGATTACTATAATAGTTTATGATCTGAATTTTCTTTTATTAGGAAAAAAACCAAAATAAGTTTGCTAATCAAGATAAGTACTGCTTCTTTTTTCTCCCTCTCCTTGAAACTTTTTAATATTTTAAATAAAAATTTCAGATAGGATACTTTCCATATTACCAGGTAATTGATAAAGTATACCTTAACTTTTACAGATTGTTCCATGGCAAGGAATATTGATCTTTATGCTAATTTGATGTTGTAAAAATTATTTTTATTAATATATTTTTAAAAATTAATGCTCAATTACATTGAAAAGAATTTTTAACATTTACTCTTCAGTATCAGGAGTGGCATAGGAAATAGAGAAATTAATATTTCAGAGAGTTGGTATTTAAAGCAACAGCTTTCAGAAGTATGAAAATAAGGTATGAAAACCAGATAGTTATTTCAGTGTTACTATTCTAGGCTAGGAGACATGTAGCCACAAGGGGGCATAACAGTGATGCGGGCTGTGTTTGAGTACTGTGTGTCATTGAGCTAGAAGAAAGATCTCACAATTTTGGATTATCCCAGGACATTGTTCCTTCCATTTCACCAACGCTCCCACTCTCTACATTCACTTTTCTTGGCTGTCTACCTTTTCTGTGTCCTTCCTGATAAAGCCCCTTTTTGCTAGAGCCTCTCTTCTACTTGAAAATAATTGAACTGAGCTCTATCCTTTATCCTTGAGGCTTCTGTATAGTTCTGAGTATTAACTCAGAATCCAGATGCATTCTCAAGTTCTTTATGGTTTAAAAATATTCTAGTAGTTTCTTCACAGGCCAAAGGCAATAGTGTTAACTTTATATCCTTGAAAATATAACTTAACTGACAGGGAAGGCCTTCTTGATTGGCTTTTTGTCCTATATTAAAAAGTCACAATCTTTCAGTAATAAATGATTAGTGAAGACTGTAGTGTGGCTTTTTTTCAGTTTATATATTTCTCCCTTGCTTCTCAAAGAAGGTAATAGGTCTTTGCTCTAAACTTCTAAGAGGCTTAAATTCACTGATATACTCACATATGCTTATGTTAATTCCTTTATTTTGTACCATTCAAAGCCTATTTCAGATTATTTTATGCACAGAACTGTGGAGTAAAGATAATCTGGTTGAATCACTGTCCTTACTAAGCCAGTCATATTTCAAATACTTGCCAAAAGCTATTAGTGGCTTATCTTATTTTCAAAGCTGATTGAACTCATAAATCATCCTTACAAATGAATTGCAGCCAGGTGCTGTAGCTCATGCCTCTAGTCCCAGATACTTGGGAGGTACAGATCTAGAGGATCACGATTTGAGGTCAGCCTGGGAAAAATGTTAGCAAGACCCCGTCTCAACCAATAAAGCTGGCTGTGGTGGTGCACACCTGCTTGTCATCCTAGCTACTCAGGAGGCTTAAATAAAAGGATTGTGGTCCAGGCCTGGCAAAAACAGGATACTCTTCCAAAACTAACTAAATCTGAAAGGACTGGGGATATGAGTGCCTGCCTCAAAGCATGAGGGCCCAAATTCAAACCCCAGTACTGCCAAAAAGAAAAAAATTCCGGAAGTGAGTCTTCTCTTGGTTTGAGAGCCCATGAGTGCAGGTATTTTTTTCTCTCCTTGAATGAATGCTTTCATTTATTCTTAGGAGTTTGTTGAAGTCTGAGGGTATAGTGGCATTGCCTTATTGCGTAATTACTGTATTATTTGATTTTTTAGACTTATTGGGTAAAAATGTGGTAGTCACCAAATAATACTAACATTCCTTTTTTTTTCTATTATCTGTCCTCCTTTTACAATGATAGTAATTTTCTTTTTCTAGATTTGCCCCTTCTGTGGTGTATATAGTATTGCAAGATGACGTTGGTAGCTAGATAATAAAAGCTTGAGTCCTCTCCATCAGCTGGCTTTAAATTATCTTTCAAAACAAAGAAACATAATTTTGGGGATGGAGTTTTTTTAATCTAATTGCAGATTTAAACTCATGGTAATTTATTTTGCATCTGACTAAGACACTGGTAATTTGGTAGCATCACCTTCTTGATTTATTCTTTTTCTGAAACTTTTATTAATATAAAAGTTGGATTATTATATGTATTTATATATATAATTATATAATTGCTATTTAGCTTTTTCCTATAAAGAATTTTTGTTAACATTTTTAAATGTAGTCTTAGTCAAGTAAGATACTGTTGAACTTGTTGAGTGGAATCACTGATACTTAAATCACCAAAAAGAGGAAAAAGCATTTTAAACTGGAAAAGGATTCTATGTATCTTCACGAGTAAGTAGGTTGATAGGATTTTAGTATTTTCCTCTAATCTCTCTGGATGTGTACTTGAAGAAATTATTTCCCCAAGTATGAAGAAATTATTTCCCCAAGTATGAACTTTTTGTGTATGTAATTTAAAGAATGTAGGATTTCTTCTTTGAAAATCTTTAATATGAAAATATTATGGTATCTCACTATAATTGAGGAAGTATTTATTTGTGTTTATAGCACAGAAGGCAAGCAACTGTTAGATACTACTCTTTATCCTATATTGGTTGGGACTGTAGAATAGACAAAAATATGAGGAAATGTAATCTAAGAGAATTTAGGGGACATTAACAATATTCTTCACATTCAAGTAATTTTTAGCTACTTTGAATTACACATAACAGCACCTAGCACAGTGCCAACCACATGGGAAGTGTAAGAAGCTTTCTGTGGTTGGCATTATAGTTTCTGATTGGTTTAAATGTAACATCAGAAGCAGTGGTTGTGTTTTAATTGTTCTTTGAATTTTAGGCAAAATTTACCCTTGTATCTCTGGAAATAAACATTCTAGCTATGACTTTTTTCTTCTAATCTTATTGGTTACCAATAGAATATGCTGTTGAGAAAATTAAGGGTTCATTTTGTATCTGTTTAAGATGCAATTCATCATACTATGCCTGTACATTTTGTTAGATAGCCAAACTCATTGTTTTTACTGCCACATGTATAAATTTGACTATTTCGAAAACACAGACTTTTAGTTACATATATAATTCTTTAGTTCCTGTGTAAATAGGAACTTACCTTTTCTTCAGTGGACAAAAAAGCATTCAGCTCAACATAAAATGTATTAGTCACTTAATATTGTAGGTTGAAAAATTATTTTAAAAAGATACTTGGGATTGGGGACATTTATGGTAAAATTTAACCAGAAGATGGCAGTGATGATCCTTCTATACTTCCTGTAACGGTAATGAAAGTTTTCCAATTGTCATAGCATGAAATGTGCATGTTCAACTGCTGTTATATAATGTTAAAAGTTGACAATTTAGGGGAAAACATTTGCTATTGTTTTATATACTATGAAAAATGAGTATTTTTCTATAAGAGGGGATTAAGAATATTTTGGGTGTCTGTATCTTTGTCTGTACACTTCAGTTTTTTCTGAATACTGGGGTAAGGAAGTTACCATAAGTCTTGCTTTGTTTAATTTGCATGTATCACTTTATGTTATGCATCATGTCTAGAAGGCATGCTGTTTTATGGCCTGTTTGCATTTTTTCACTCAAATTGCTGGAAACTAATGGACATTTTAAAGGAGCCATTCCTTTAGCTGCAGTCATTCTCTAAATTGCCCTTTTTTCGGTGGGATAGGGAATGAAATCATTTTAAATATTCTTTTAAAAATTACTGGACAAAAATTAACATTTTTAAATAGCTATTGGAAGACCATAGATGTCTGAAGGTTTCGGGGTTGGTTGTCTTAGGGAAAGGAATGCTTTCCTTTGAAAATGAGTGGCCACGTTTGGTGATGGATGACATGAAGATGCACCTTCCATAATTTGCCTTTTTTAAAATATAAAGCCCAAATGCATTTTGCAGAGAAATTGCATGACTCTTCAGCATGTATTGTTAACTTTGTTTTTTCCCCTTTCTTTCTGCTATTCATTTTCATTCATGTATTTTTGTTTTTTGGTTTGTCATTATTTTTTCCTTTTTTGTTAATTACTTCATGTTAAATTATTTTTGAAACGTCATAAGCTGAGCAACCTCTCCGTGTAGTAACAGCGGATACCTGTCTATTTCACTATTTAGTCCCTCCTCCTATGTCTCCGTCCTCCAAATCGGTGAGCACACCAAGTGAAGCTGGAAGCCAAGACTCTGGAGATGGTGCCGTGGGATCTAGGTAAAGTATTTGCTTCTAATATTTTACTGATAGAATGCACTCAGTGCCCAAATACTCCCAGTGCTTCAGAGGGATTGTAAACAACTGTGTTAACTCATGTTTTACAATCTAAATGGCATAGAAGTTCTCTGTTGTAAATTGGAAGGTGAAATTTTTAACACTATTTTAGCTGTCACATGTAGTAGTAAATAGCTTACTAATTTTATGATAATTTTATAGTAAAAATAAAGGTATTAATGCATTTGCATTTTTTGTTTAAGCAAATATTATATTGGTTATTATGTAAATGTTTTGATTATAAATAGTAGAAAACATTTTGTTGTGTTTAATTCCCCATTGAGTAATTGAAAATCCAAACAATTCAGTTAAGCAGCCCTGTTATGTTCTATTAAGTAACTAATTCTGCTAAGTAAGATAGAAAATAAGAGTGTATAAAATATCAAAATTCAGGAGTAACTGCCAAGGAAATATTGAAAGTGCTTTACTTTCAAGTTTTGCTGAACTTGCCTCTTCCTTGTGAAACTATAGTTCATGTTTGATGTTTGTTTTAGGATCTTATAAATGTTAGGACTTGGCTTTTCAAATGTTCAGTAAGAGTTCACATTTCTTTCAAAGATATAGGGAAAAGTATTAATACCATTCTCTTATTACACACACACATACACATTGACAGTCTTTAACAGCATCATACTTTTTGACTTCTTAAGACAGCTAAAATGAGAGTGAACCCAGCTAGTGAAAATCCACAGCTAATTGAAAATCCTTATTTTGGGCTAGGAGCTTAAATATCCTCCCCAGGAAAAATCTCTTAACACATCTTTTTTTTTGGATGGGGGGGCAGTACTTGAACTCAGGGCTTCACACTTGGTAGATAGGCACTCTACTATTTGAGCCACTCCACCAACCCTTAACACACATTTTTAAGTAAAAAAAATAATTGTAATAGAGTTTTATCTTTTTTGGTGCCTGGGCCCCTCTAAATATGTAGATAAGTAATGAATATCTATAAGAGAGGGCAAGAAAAAAATGCAAGGTGGGTGGATGATTTATAAAGTCAACAATCATGTTATCACTAACAATGATAAGACACATGAAGCTTCCCAATTTGAATTTGAGAAGTGCTTTCCAAAAATGGCAAATCTAGCAATACTGTTTTGGGGGATAAATAACCTTTTCTTTCATTTAAGGAAAATTAAAACTTTCTTGTTAGAAATAATGTTACTACCTTATAAAACATTATATGATGACAATTTCTTTAGTCTAAATTCATTTTTAGGACAAAATTTATTTCATATTTCTGTGTTTTTTTATACAAATATGTCAGTATTCCCTTAAATATCTAATAAGCAGATGACATTTTCAAGTGAAGGTATTCTTGTTTCTTATCCCCCAAAAATTATCATAGTTATTTCTCAAGATTAAAAACAATGTATTTATTAAATTTCTTTATTTGATATTATATATCATCTTTCTGTAGATATTGTATGTACATTGTAAACTCCTCATTCCTGATTTTGAGTAGAGATTTAATGCATTGTCTGCAAGTTTGCTTTCAAAAGTACTATAATCTACTTGGCTTTTAAAATTAACATGAATTCCAATGCGTCCTCCTGAGTTTCGTGAACAGCCTAGAGACAATTAGAGATCTTCTAGAATATTGTAAATTGGCACAGGGAGTAAACACTGGTAAGAAAAGGATTTGTGTTAGAACAAATATTCATCAAATTTCCTACTTTGTGTTAATTACTATTGGTTACCATAGAAAATAAAATGTTCATGACTCTGCTTTCATAGAATGTACATTCTACTGATTGTATGACTAATTTAAAGATACTGTTCACTTTATTGTAAAGCTTTAAGGACATTATGCTAACATTTTTAATGTAAAGTTTAGATATTTTATGATAGATTGTAAAACAAGAAAACCCATAGTTTAATATTTTTAGAGGTATTTATTTTATTATTTTAAAAAAATATTTATTGTGCTGGGGATACATTGTGGCATTTACAAAATTTGATATTCTTATATCAAATATATCACACTTGAATTCACCCCTTCCTATAGATATTTATTTTATTAGAGAAAGATTATAAGATTAGTTTGATCTAAATGTAACAGGAAAGCAAATAATCTTTTTATTTGCTTTTAAATATCTTATAAATCTTAATAGATACTTTGTCTCCTTTGTCATAACTAACTCACTTTGAAATATTAATTTTTAAGAGAGCTAGGTATATTTGCTTTATGGACACACAAAATAATAGAAGACTGAATTCTACTGAATCATCTCCAGATTCCATAATGGAGTGGGAATTAATATTGTAGATGGTGACTTTGGTAGTGGAATAATGCATTTTTAAATACATAGCATTTAAAAAGAATACTCATATCTGAGAACTAAACAGAATGAACTCAGATTGAGCAGGAAAATGATGAAAGAATAAAGACAATAAAAAGGAATATCACAGAAAAATGCATGCAGATGTAGAGATGTATGCACCTGTGCCCTCAGCTCCATTTGTTGGCCAAGATGGTTTAAGATTAGTACATTCTAAAGAGTAGGAAAAGATAGATTCAACATTACAACATATGACTTTTTAACTCTCTGAATCACTCTATTGGGACTGGAGGTTACTTATGAATAAATATCAGAGGCTATGAGAAGAGCTACTTCTCTAACTTTATAGATTAGGAAGTTGTATTTCATTAAACTTCTAGTTCACTTTTTGAGTTCCTTCTGTTAGCTCTAAAATTTAGATGGCAGTTATTCCATTGGGTAATGTACCATTTTTCCATTTTTGGTAGGTTTATTTATATGGCTTTTGGATTATATTGGAATTGTATGGTATATGTCTGATGATGCCTTTACTATGTATAATCATGTATGCTGTGCAAAGCATTTTTAGTATTGACTGTGTTCTGAGGTAAAGTTTTACTTGATTTTAGACTAAAATGACATCCTAAACAAGGAGCTTTATGTTATTGATAACAATTAGAGTTCTTGTAGAATGTAAAGACTGTTGATAGAACATGCCTTGTAGACCATCTCATAAAACTGCTTTTGGTTTAACACAGCCTAAATTTGTTGCTGTTCATTGCTTAGTACAAAGTAGGTCTTCACTGTGGCCTGTTTTTTCCCCCACAGCCTTGTTTAAATTCCAAGATTTTTCCTTATATTTTTTAAATGAAGGAGTTCTCTATTTCATTTCATCTAATTATTTTATTGATAATTTGTACACCCAGATAGAGAAATTATTTGTTGTATTAAAATATAATAGCAACTAAAACTAATTGCACATTATAACTTATATAAATGAGAAACAAATATATTTGATAAAAATGGTAGAATTAGAGTATTGTACTTAATTTTTTAAATAGGAGCTATGAGCATTATACAGTATTTCTAACCTACAGAAATGCCAATATCTAGTAATGACTAGATTTAGCTTAAGTAGAAAAGATTCCATGAACAATGTTTACCTTTTAGACAGTGCTAAAACATCACTGAATATTTGTTTGGAATTGATGTTCTCTAAAAGTTAGATAAATTCCTGAATGTGAAGTATTTCTCCAGAGGAAAAATTTATTTTTCCTAGAGACAGGAATCTTTAGTTGTTTTCTAAAGCAGAAGATATGTAAGCCCAAGGCAGTGCTTAACCCATAAATTACAGCAAGGTCACATTTTTGGAAACTCTAGCTACTTTGTATCCCAGTGGGATAGTCTTTGGTTTTCTTACCGAAAAGCTTATGTGTTGACTCATTTCCTTTACCAATATGACAATTTCCTGCACATATTTAATGCTTTGGGCAAGATTAGAATATGTTAACTAAGCTGTTTTAGTATTTTTTAAATTAGGAATCTTAACTTTATAGTCTGGCTTGTTATCATCCATGAATGATGTATTATTTGGGTTGTTGTCTACTTTAATGGTTTTTGTTTAATATTATACAATATTAGTTTTCCATAATGTGAAAATATCATTAACTACTTTGGGTTATATACCATCATCTGTAATCACATTATGTTTATTTCATGCACTAGAGCATTGAGTGATACCTAGCATGTGGGGTTTTCAGGTTTTGTTTTGTCTTTTTTTTTCTTAAACTAACCTGAACATGTGTTTTTAAATTGTCAACAGTACTTTAGCTTTAGCTATTCATAGAATGTATTTGCTTAACTAACTTATGGCCTTTTTTACTAATGCTTCATGGTTGTCCTACAACCATTTAGGACGCTGCATTGGGATACAGATCCATCAGTTCTTCAGCTTCACTCAGATTCCGATTTGGGGTATTGAATAGATTTATTACCTTCCCTTTTTCATAATTAATTTGATTCTTTGTGAAACTGTCCTAATTTCATTTTGTTTAAGTTTCTAATATTATAGTATTCAGTTAGGTTGAGAGTTATATTTTACTGTAACACCTCATTTATCCTATACTATTAGTAAAAGAAATATTCTATGTATATTTTTTTCTAGATACCATAAGCCTACCCATTTAAATATCCAAACTCTTTATTACTTCTATATTTTTATGTAAATTTTTCTAAAATGTACTAAAAATACCCCCAACTTTTTCTGGTATATAGTCTACATGTAATTGAACCTTTTCTGGATTACTTGATGAGTATTAATTAACTTCCCTCTATTAAAATTCACTGATTAGTCTAAAGTTTTGAGAGGAACAAATGTTTATCTCTATACTGTGGCCCCAGAGGGAGTATACTTATTTACTCCTTCCTTCCTTCCTTCCTTCTTCCATCTTTCCTTCTTTCCTTCTTTCCTTCCTTCCTTCCCTCCCTCATTTATTTTTATAGGCTCTAATGCAAATGATAAATGTTTGCTGCTGCCATTGTGCCTGATTCTGCTCTGCTCTTTTCCCTTGATAATTTATAGCTTCAAAAACATGTGACCATATATTTGAGAAATGTATTTAAAGTAAGAGTAAATAAGCCTTAAATTAAAAAAAAGAAAAAGAAAAATATGTGAGCTTCTTGTACATTAACCAGAAGACCTCTCTATTGGCTGCCCTGAGGCTTCTCCCTCTGCCTTCCCATTGCTTCTTTGTTCTCAGTAAAAGTGGGTTTTGGATAAGTGAGGTATTACCGTCTTACCTTTCTCTTCCTGCAAAATCTTGGAATATTTTGTTCATTTAAATCTTGTGGGTTTTAATTATTGGTTCTATATGCATTCAAGTTAGTAACTTTCTCCAAATACTATTGGCTTGACCATTTTTTTTCCAGATGTATGAGTGATTTACTTTTTATATGGTTTGCATCTGAAAAATCAGAATATGAAGTTATTTAAGATTTTATTTTTAGATTACTCCAGATTACTTCAAATGTACTAAAATTTTCCCATTTAATTATTTGATGATTCTTTTTTAATGCTAATATATTTTACCAGTGACATATATTTTACTTTAATTTATAATTTAAACATCCAAGATAATAACCCTAGATAGCTAATAAAATATGTTTTTCTTTTGGTTCATTTTCTTCAGCTGCAACTTTTCATTACATTTGTCAAAAAATAATATGTTTCCTCCATTTAACTAAAACACTGACCTTAGTTTGTCTATTAAGAATCAAGGACAATATTGTCCATGTAGAGGTTAGAGATTGAAAAGTTTTAAATACTTCATCTTAAAATCCAAATTGACAGTGTGAATTTCATTTTCTGCCAAATGTAAGAAGTAGTAAAAGGCTTTCAACAGAAACCTATTTTTCAATCTTAAAGTCGAAATCTCCTAATGGTGAATGGAATTAAACATGGTCTGAGTGAGATTCATGTATTTGACTCTAAAAAAGGCCGGAATCATATTCCTGATAGTTCCTACAACTAACCCAATTCAGCAATCCATTGTAAAATTCTACTATTACCCACTTATTTGCTCTAAGAAATGAAATTATTTGCCTGTCGAAGTAAAAAGTAAACACTCTGAAGGAGTCAGAAATAGCTTTCTTTGCTACCTTCTAATTCTTTTGCTAAAATTTATCAAATAAAACAGGGTTTCAGATTTCAATGTTGGATGCACGTGAATGTTTAATTCTTACTTTTTGAAAACAGCATGGTTTGATATATTCGAAGAATATCATTTATTGTGTTTAAAGCATTTGTATTCACTTAATTTAGACGAGGACCTATTAAACTTGGAATGGCCAAAATTACGCAAGTTGACTTTCCTCCTCGAGAAATTGTCACATATACAAAGGAAACTCAGACTCCAGTTATGGCTCAACCCAAAGAAGGTGAATATCTGTCCTTAATGTGATTATCATTAAGACCTTGTGTTGAGTAAGTGGCTTCTTTGTCTTGTTTTTCTTTCATTCTCTTTTGTCTTATTTTTGATGTTTTCTTAGGGAAACGCTATAAAACTAACAATGCCTCATAGTTTCTGTTTACATATTTTTGGTTTTTAGGGTTTGTAAACTTTTACAAGTTAACAGTAAAAGCTGTATGTATGGGGTTTTTTGTGACATAAATTCAAGTTCTTTCAGTGTTTATTTTATCATTAATATGTACTTGTTTTAGAAGCAGAAAAGCTCAATATTCTATTTCTGTCTTTGAGCATGATTATTCCCCCAAAGAGATTGTGTGCCACAGTAAAGGAAGTCATGTAAATTATTTTCTGTAGAGCATAGTGTATCCTGATATGCTGTCATTATTATTCAAACTAACGAACAAATGCAGACCTAATTCTTAAACTTCCTCTTTTATGATTTAAGGACTCTACAATGTTGATTAGTTAGTAGCCTTTAATCTGTGTGTAATTTGAGGAAGTATGCAGACATTTGTATATGGAGTACTTTGGTTCTTAAACCAGAAAGTATTACCACTTGTAAGTTAAAAATTAATTGTTAAATATCATAAATAGCTAATAATTCAATGGTAAAGTAATATGATAGGGTTTTTATTGTTGGTTTTCTTTTTTTCTTTTTTTTGCCAGTGAGACTAACAGATTTATGTTATACATAAAAGAAGTTTACATGAGATTCCTAATTCAGGTCCACAAACAATTATTTGAAACCTTTGGGGCCATATTATGTATTCATATTCAAAAATTTTCAGATTTTATAAAAGTGATAAGGTATATATAGCAACATCTTGGACATTAATATTTTGGCAGTAAAATATCAGAACATACTAAATGTGATAAAATAATGACTACGAATAGCTTTGCCTCTGATCATGTCAGGATTTACCACCAAAGAGTTATGGATTTTAGAGCTGTTGATAATTTTGGAATTTTGGATTAGGTATTATGAGCCCATAGTAAATTACTGTTTTTAATAGTCTGTCCAAAAGGAACATTTTTTTCTATGTGTCCAGGAAAATTTGTTCCAACTTAATTATAGAAAATCAAGTACAGAAACTATATCAAAAGTTTTTAAATTATCATTAAATTTTCAATTAAAGTATGATGTTTCTCCACTAGGGAGAAACAAAAGTAATATTTGTTGCAAAAAGCCAAGAAAATAAAGGTAAGCAAGAGTGGGGGGCGGTTCTTAAAATCATTAACTATTCCCAAAGAAAATGTTCAAATTTTCATGTTTGTAACCTCAAAAGAAAATTGGAGTTCTAGATATTTACAGTCATCTGACTTACCAGTTGATTATCACATATACTTTTTTAGCGTATATTAATTGTATAAATGGACCTCATTGTGACATTTTCATACGTGAATGTAGTGTACTTTGATCATATCCATTCTCTCTTCCTCCCCCATTCTCTTCCCAAATAGTTCCCTTCTACTTTTATCAGTATACTTTTAACAACTCTTTCTTTTCTGCCCTCACAGAATGGAAATGAAATAAATATCATAAACATTTCTTTTTACTTGCTTCCAAAAGGAGTTGACATCACCAGACGTGCAATGCTTAGAAAATTTTGAGGAAATCAAGCTAACCTTTTTATTTGAGTATTTTTTTTATTTGACTTTGTAAATGTTCATTTCTATGGAAACATTTTTTTCATTCCTACTTCACCACTGGTTGGTCAGATAGCTTTTGTAAGTGCAGAATCTTTATCCTAACTGAAAAAAAAAAAAAAAAACACTGATGGTAAATTTATTTGAGATATAAGCAACATTAAAAAAAAAAGAAGAAGAAGAAATAAACAAAGCCAGGCACTCATGGCTCACCCCTGTAATCCTTGCTACTTGGGAGGCTGAGATTGGAAGGATCTTGGTTTGAGGCCAGTCTAGGCATATGGTTTATGAAACCCCTCATCTTCAAAATAACCTGACCAAAACAGGCAGGAGGTGCCATTCAAGCAGTAGAGAACCTACTTTGTGAAGGTCTGTTTTGCAAGAGTGAAGCCCTGAGTTCAAAACCCAGTCCCACCAAAAAAAAAAAAAAAAAGAGAAAGACACAAAGAAAGAAAAAAAGTAAGATAAAGGGTTGAATTATTAGTGTGGAAAATACTAAATTGGCAGGATTCTATAATTTCAGAAAATATTTTTAATAGTGAATTAGAGTATTATGTCTATCTTTTTGGAGCTATGTTATTAGTTATGTTAACTTAGAAAATGAGCAAAATAGTCCAAATTAGGGCATAATGACTCATTCAGAAAATAAATTAGGGCTCAGGCATGAGAGTACATGCCTGTAATCCATTATTCAGGAAGCAAACATGGGAGAATCACCATTCCAGGCCAGCCCAGGCAAAAAAGTTAGACTCAGTCTCCAAAAACATGTTGGGTGAGGTGTGCCACACCTGTAGTCCCAGCAACACAGAAGGAGGAGGTAGGAGGATAAAGGTCCAGTTGGCCAAGGCAAAAGTGCAATACTCTATCTGAAAAACTAAAGCAAAAAGGGCCAAGGGTGTGGCTTAAGTGTAGAGTGCTTGTCTAGCAAACATAAGATCTTGAGTTCAAACTCTAGTACCTCCAAATAGTGGTGATGATGATGATGATGATGATGCCCTTTCTTTCTTTATCTGATAATATGGAGATTATACTTTTAGCTTTACCATCATACATAGGAAATGCATTTTGGATGTTTGAAATGTAAAGAATTTTGAAGCTATTTTGGATAATTCCTGTTATTGTTGAAATTATATTAGAGTGAATACTTTTTTAATTTCTAAAATATTTTTCTCTAGCTATTACAGAGAATTTAGAAAGTTCAGAAAGGACATAATGAGGAAATTTATGTGATATCACTGTACATTACCCATTAATATTTTGTGTGAAGATAATTAGTTTTCTATGATATATTTTTTCAGAAATTCTATTCTGTATATGTGTGTGTACTTACTTTATGTCCTACTTAAAATTTGCATTTTTAAATTGCGTCTTTTGGTGGCCTTGGGGATTGAATTCAGAGCCTTGCACTTGCTAGGCAAGGGCTCTCCCATTTGAGCCAAACCCCAGTGCTTAATTTTGAAATGCTTATAAACTTTAAAATATGAACCTGTGCCCTTGAATTAATTTGAATATGTAATTGGCATAATACAAGACTGTCATTTTTTTAAAAAAATTTTTTCCTGTTATTTTGCAAGTAATTTTAAAAAATAAAAAGATAATAATTTGTCAGATAAGCTGATGACCCACAAGTACAAGATAAACTGTTCTCTTCAGTTTGAAATTATTCAGGGCAAGGCTTTTAGCATCTTTATTCTTCAACTTCTTTGCCAAAATTTCCATGAACATTGAGACTGCTTCTTCCTTGTTGTGATGCCTGGCCTGAACAATGTCTGGCATGTAGTAAGTACTCAATAAATATTTGGTGAAGGAACTAATTGCTGTTACCTACTCAGGAGAATGATTTTGCCAAATTGGAATGTTTATTTTCATGCTTTTACTCTGGAAGCAACTATTGAAAAAAAATAAGTTATCTTCAAGTGTTAATGCTGTAATTATTGAAAATTGGATAAAAAGGATGTGATTAGTTTAGTACTTGGTATTCATATGATATATCCAAATCATTATTTACTCTTAGGTACAGAAGTGAGACCATTATAGGTTCTCCTTTCTGGCTTTCTTGAGTTACATGTTAATATCATTTCATAGATATATGTTCTTTGTATCCCTCTGAATACTCTGAACCAAGTTGAACTTGTCAGCATCTGTTAAATGTATTATTTGGCCTATTCATTAGAGACAGGTCTCCATAAACTGATGACTGAAAATTATAATGGCAGAGGGTGCTCACTACATATCAGACATTTTGTGAGGCACTTTAATCCTCTCACCAACATTCAAAAAGTTAGATATTGGTTCTCATTTACACAGGAAGAAGCTAAAGCTGAAAAAAAAAAAAAGGTAGTTTCTCAAGGGTCACATAGATAGCAGCAGTGATTCAGTACAAGCAGCCACATGTGTATAATGAATCAAGTTTTATGAATCAATACCCTCTCTTACTCTATTTTATTTTTTTAAGATGTTGAACACAAAACACTAAATTTATTAGTTTAGGCCTATAGTTTGAAAATACTTCATTAAAGGAGAACATGGTTGGTTAGCTTATTGGTATATTTACATCAGAATAATATCATTTTTAGCAATAGTTTCAGAATAATGAACCAGTGCCTTTGCTTTTCACTAGTGTTATTTATCTTCACAGACAGAAAGTGAAAGTGACTAAGAGGGTGAACGGAGCCCAGTTTCTTACAGGAATGACCACATCAGCACCATCCTTTAAAATTTTCCTAGGTAGACTAGATTTAGATGTTAGTTTTATAAAAGTTTATGTTTGTTTATTTGCAATCTAGCAAGTCTTTGTTGATCCTGCAAGTTTATTGACTCTGCTAGATGATCTTTTCTTTGGTTCTGTGGTCCTTTTAGTTAGGGGTTGAGGTATATAAGTGAAAGAGAATAAGAATCTTATCCTGATACCATGAGGCCATCCTTAACCTTTGCAACTCCTTGTAAAAATGAGATAATTTCCTGCATAAGGCCCTAAATTCAAACCCCACCCCTCCAAAAAGGAAGTATGTCACAAGACTAGGAGTATAGCAGTACTGGGGTACAGTTCTGCAGTAGACTGCTTGCCTATCATGCATAAGGCCCTGGGTTCAATCCTCAGCACCACAAAAAAATTTTTGTTATTTTTAAATTTTGTGAACACTTAAAAAAAAATTGGAGAACTCATAATTAAGAGTTAACATGGTAAATTTAAATAGGCAGTATATTCAGTGCAGAAGTAATGAGTTACCAAATTGAAGGTAAAAATTGGGCTTAACTCTTACCTGTCTTTTTTTAAATGGCTGAACCTATTCTTTTAAAAGTCAGTTTTGTTCTGCCTTT